CAGCAACATTGCCTGGGTTTGTCTTCCAGGGAGTTTGTGGTGGGACAGGATCCACGTGTAGGGTGCTAGTCTCATAGCTGTGATGTGTAGATCTTTCTTGAAAGAATCACACTGCCCTTGCAGCTTCCTCAGTGAGACCCTGTGTGCTTCCCTTTAGGAAGTGTTACTGAAGAGGGCAGCCGACCTTGTAGAAGCCTTGTATGGGATGCCTCACAACAACCAGGTAGGTGGGGCTAGGTTTCATAAACATTCTCAGCTCAGGCAACCAACATGAGTTGCCTACCTTGTGACAGCTCCGTAGCCAGTCTGATGACAGGTTACTGCCCCATACTGTGTCCCTACAGAAAACAAGACAGTGATAGAACCCAAAAGCTGAGGAGGGGCCCCACCAACAGGTGCGGTTTTGACATCTCCAGAGCATTAGTGGGTGTCCCTGGGACTCAGGGAAGGCATGCAGGCATCCCATAGCATGTTCTTGCTGGCCTGGGGGCCTCAGAGAGTAGACATTTGCCTTCTCTCAAGGTGGCCCAGTCCTTTGACTCTTGAGTCTGCTGCCTTCCACCTATCCTGAGGTTTGGAGCGGCAGGTCCAAGGACAAGATGATGTAGCCACTTAGACATGTCCTTTGACAGTTTTCCTAAGGCTTTTGCCGTAGTCTGGGCCAAGGAATGGTGACTGACCATCATTCTGCTTGCCCCAGCCAGAGAGCGGAGCTGATGCCTGGGATGTGCGGCCATAGGAGCCTGGCCTTGTGTCATGTGACAGGCTTCTTACATGTATGGTTCTCGCTCTAGGAGATCATCCTGAAACGAGCAGCTGACATCGCCGAGGCATTGTACAGCGTCCCCCGCAATCACAACCAGATCCCTACCCTGGGCAACACTCCAGCGCATACCGGCATGATGGGTGTGAACTCTTTCAGCAGCCAGCTAGCCGTGAATGTGTCAGAGACCTCACAAGCCAATGACCAAGGTAGGCCACCTTGCCAGACAGACCCTTCCCTGGCCCCCTCCCTGGGTGGGTTGAGGCTGTAGCCGCAGATGGAGGTGTCTGGACCCAGCTGGGGTGCGCCAGTCACGTTCCACGTTCTCAAGCATGGCTGGTTCCTTCTTGGCTGGGAAGACCTTGCCCCAAATCCTCCAGCCGTTACTGGGTGGAGGACTCTCAGAGAACCTGGTCCTAACGAAAGCAGGGCCCTCGGCTACCATTCAGCTTCCCGGTACTCCTCGAGGCACCCTTAGCTTATTTGTAAATGACTTTGTGGTCCCTGACAAGACTGGGTGGAGCCATGGGCAGCTGTAATGTAGGAGGCCAGGAGGAGCCTACTTGGATGCTTCCTGGGTGGGATTTGGGTTCCCTGCCTGGTCTGAATCCATTGAGGGAGACTGGCATTTCTCCACACTGTACCTTACCCCATAGTGCAGTGATCAGGACTGCTGAGGTCACACCCACGTGGCCTTTGAGCTGGCTCTGAGCCCAGTTTAGTCCACTTCCTCTGTGAAAAGATACGCAGGCAGTAATCTCAGCACCACCCCCACCGTGCTGCTGGCTGTGCTCGAGGTCACCCCCACTCCGCAGCAGGCAAGGAGCTTTGGCACCCTCCACACTCCTGCTCACAGAGACAGCGACTATAATAACCAAGACCCCCAGACAGCCCTTCCAGGGAAGCCACAGCCACAGACAAGCTCTCTGTCAGCCATGGCATTTGGAGGTCTGCTGAGGCTGAAAGTTCAGAGAGCATGGGGGTCGGGGGGGTACAGGCCAGGAATCTGAGCTGTTGGTAATTGCTTCATAAGAAATATGTGGAAGCAGCTGATGGTTAGATCGAAGCACACTTTGGCTGGCTGTGGAAACCAACAGAGACGGAGCAGGGCTCACCGGTGAGGCAGTGTGGTAGGGTTGGTGTGATAAGGTTATCCAAGCTGGTTAGAGGAACTAGGGCCAGAAGAAGCACAACGTCAATTAAAAATGTTGAATATATGATAGAGATTCTGGGGAAACCTCCCCCCCCAAGTGTCTGTCACTGATAATCATGTTATTTTTGGCCGGGGGGGGATTTTAACAGTCGGCTACAGTCGCAATACAAGCAGCGTGTCCCCGCGAGGCTACGTCCCCAGCAGTACTCCCCAGCAGTCCAATTACAACACAGTCAGCACTAGCATGAATGGATATGGAAGTGGCGCCATGGCCAATCTAGGGGTCCCTGGCTCGCCTGGATTTCTTAATGGCTCCTCCGCTAACTCTCCCTACGGCAGTAAGTGTCTGTTTTTGTCACACGTCATCACGCAGATTCATATTCACTACAGAGTCGAGTGTGTGTATTGCCTGGGTGTTCTGTGATGTGAGCTACTGGATAAAAGGAAGGGTGGCCCCAGAGGCTGGGCGTCCCAATGACGACCACAGATTGATCTACAGCAGCACCCTGCCCCTCATGCCATCTCATTGGCCAACCAAAACAAAATCAGAACCACCTGGGGCTGCTCATTTTGGACGAGAAAGCCCAACCCCAAAGCGTTTGCCTGTTATCCAGAGTGGCCGAGCCAGAAGCATGTCGTGTCTTGTTTTGTGGCCCCTCCCCATGTGAGGCGAGGCCTTCGGAGCTCTCGCCGTGGTGCTGCGCCACGGCCGCCGTGCTGACCATGTTTGCTTTGTTGCAGTAGTGCCGTCCAGCCCCACCGTGGCAGCCTCTTCGGTCACCCTCCCTTCAAATTGTAGCAGCACGCACGGCATTTTCTCATTCTCACCTGCCAATGTCATCTCCGCAGTGAAACAGAAGAGCGCCTTTGCGCCCGTGGTCCGGCCCCAAGCCTCGCCTCCTCCTTCCTGCACCAGCGCCAACGGGAACGGACTGCAAGGTGAGGGCGGCGTGGGTGGGTGCTTGGGCCCTGTGGCCTCTTCGCAGACACCTTGCATGTGCTTCACTGGCCGGCCTCCTCCTGCCCTGTATCCGCCCAAAGGCCACCGGTCCTCAAGCCCCAGCATGTACCAGATTCTACCTCTTGGTTTTGTCCAGATCATCCTTCCAACATACTGTCCTCGAAGTAAAAGCTCCTGTGCCCTAAGGGGTGGAGCCACACTCGAGGGGGAACAGGACTGAGGTGAGACCATAGCCCTGCTCAGCAGAGCACCTAGGCCTGGGTCGTCACACAGGGCATGGTTCTCCCCTTCAGAGCCTGGGTTTGCAGGCTGGTTATTCAAGAGGCAGCAAAAACAGCCTAAGAAAGGATGCTGGGTCCCTGTGCCATCTAGGGAACCCATTCCTTTCTCTGCCCACTCCCTTTGTCTTGAGCAGCGAGTCTTTATAATCTCACCCATAGGACCAGGAGTCTACAAGGCTCTGTTGCCTCTTGGAAAGGGCTGTGATTCCTGACCCAGTGCCATCTGTACAGCATTGCTGGGTAGCAGGCCTGTCTGTAGATGGGAGTGTGTGTTCTGAGCCACCTTCAGTTCAGAGGGGAAAAGGTTGGCCGAAGGGCGTGGGCGGCACCACATGGACACAGCTGTCCACAGCTAGGACCATGTGGACCAGGAACCCGGCACCTTGCCCAGCACCGAGGGCAGCCCATGCTGCATGTGGCCTATGATGTGTGCAGCCACAAAGCCACACAGGTGCCCCTAGGCCTCTGGGCTTACATGTGGCTCCCTATGATGCATGGGACCACAGGCCACTTGAAGTAAGTGACCATCATCTGGCCTCTTACAGACACCACCTTGGGTATGTGCTCCTCCAGGTGAAAGTCAAACCCAGTTTCTCCTTTAAACACATGAACCCATTCAACCAGTATTTAATGAGCGCCTACTATGTGCCAGGCTCTCTGCTGGGTGCCGAGGACGCAACTGTGGAGAAGACAAACTGGCCCTTTTGTGAAGTCGGTGGCATATTTCACTTTGATGAACTAATGCTCAAAAAAGGAACTGGAAAGGTATCAATAATTTGAACTAATTGTCTTCACATCTGTCAGTGCTGATGGGATGCCCAAGCCCCGGGCGCCACCACCCGGCCTCTGAGCAGTCCTTGGGCACGAGGCCAGTGCTGCTTAGCAGGCAGGCAGTGAGGGCAGGTGTCTCCGGACATACCCCGGCATCGAGGCAGACTAGGCGGTACCACGTAAGCTGTGTGTACACATGGGCCTGCCAAACCATAAAGTTGTAACGGTGAGTCGGAGATAAATTAATATTGTTGAAATTAATGGACTGAGAAATTGAAGCTCACATCACTACATGAACAAATGTATTAATATGTTATACATAAATTAATGAGAACAGTCATCCTGACAAAAATTAAACAACACCAGAGTTAAAAGATTTTAAATTACATTCGTACCAGGAGTTCGCTCCAGAGCTTGGGCTGTACCCTTTGAGTGCAGTTTCTCTTTCATTCTGAGAGAAAGCAAAGCTTCCCTGAGGAGATGATGTGGTAGCCGCACCTCTCCCTGGCCCTTGGCCTTGAGATTCCAGAGCAGGTGGGCCATTCTGGCTTTGCTCTGAGAGCCTGACTCACCCTTACGCTACAGAGCTACTAGCGGGAGGTCAGAGCCTGGGCTCGAAGGCAGAGGGGAATCTGAGGCAACTGAATTTGATTTAGGAAGTTAGCTTTGGCTGTTGTCATGGCCGTGAGCAGGCTGGTTCCTGTCTCTCCAGAGAGTCTGGACAAAATGCTGAGGTGTGTGAGGTAGCAGCCCTTCCCTCCCACACATGCTAGATCTGTTCCCTTCTGCAGAGGAGACCTTGGAGGATGGCCGCAGTGCCAGGAAGGCCTGCCGAGACCGTGCCACCAGAGTACCCCACCCCGAGAGGTAGACTTCCCAGCGCACCTCTGCCATGAGCAAAGCTGGCTAGCCGGGAGTCGAGCAAGTCCAGCCTCCCTGTGGACCCCAGCACAGGAAGGGCAAACAGGACCCACACGAGGGTGCACGTGTGGGGTGGCTGGCGTTAACTGCTGTCTCCTTCTCTCCTACAGCTATGTCTGGGCTGGTAGTCCCGCCCATGTGAGGGACTCTGTTTACCTTGGCAGCATCCAACATCCAAGGACGGACTTCAGGGGACACGTATAGTATGTTGAGACATGCTGGTGGAAAGGCTATCTTAAGAAATCAGCAGCAGTTGAATGCTACAAAAGACGTTTAAAGATTTTATTTAAACTATTAAGAATCAACATGCGAACAAACCTCCTTCATGAACAATTCCATTTTATTGACTGAACTTTTCTCACATTTCCCAGTCCTGAAGAAAAAGGAAAAACAAAGCGACGCCTATTTTGTATAAAGTTTCTGACTCCGTCTTGGCTGTCTAGTGCTATCTGTGTGGGGAGAAACTTCGTGAATGCACCATGTTGATGCCCATGAAACACTAAGGGAAAACGCCTCGAAACATTTTTCTGTACCCATATTTAGATTCACAATGGTTGTGTATCTCTATAATGTGAAATATTTTTTTGTGGTGAAAAGAAGGGGGCCAAGGAGGTATGAGCCATTAACTGGAACAGAGGGGACGACTGGGAGGATTCGGGGTGGCAGGGAGGGGGGAG